GCTTTTCTTTGTGGAAAGTTTTAAAGTTACTAATTTGATCTCTTGTTTTATTTCTTTTCAGATTTTTTTATATCTTCTTGAGTCAGTTTTGGTACTTTATATCTCTCTAGGAAATTGTTTCATGTAAATTATCTGTTGGCCTATACTGTTGATCATAGTATTTCCTTGAAATCCTTTTCATTTATGTATGGTCAGTAGTGATTTCCCCTCTTTAATTCTTTATTTTAATAATTTAAGGCCGGGCAGGGTAGCTCACGCCTGTAATCCCAGTACTTCGGGAGGCCAAGGCAGGCGGATCACAAGGTCAGGAGTCAAGACTGGCCTGGCCAATATGGTGAAACCCCATCTCTACTAAAAATACAAAAATTAGCCAGGCGTGGTAGTGTGCGCCTGTAGTCCCAGCTACTCGGGAGGCTGAGGCAGGAGAATCGCCTGAACCTGGGAGGCGGAGGTTGCAGTGAACCAAGATCATGCCACTGCACTGCAGCCTGGGCGACAGAATGAGGCTCTGTCTCCAAAAAAAAAAAAAAAAAAAAAAAAAATTATTTAAGTCCCCTCTCCTTTATTCCTTGTAAATCTAGCTAAAGTTTTATCAATTCTGTTGATCTTTCCAAAGAACCAATTTGTGGTTTTGCTAATTTTCTCTATTGTTTTTCTTTTTCTTTTTTTTTTTCTGAGACAGAGTTTTGCTCTTGTTGCCCAGACTGGAATGCAACAGCACTATCTCAGCTCACTGCAACCTCCGCATCCCGGATTCAAGCAATTCTGTCTCAGTCTCCAAAGTAGCTGGGATTACAGGCATGCACCACCACACCTGGCTAACTTTTTTTTTTTTTTTTGAGACAGAGTTTCGCTCTTGTCAGTGGCGCAATCTTGGCTGGAGTGCAGTGGTGCAATCTCAGCTCATTGCAAGTGATTCTTCTGCCTCAGCCTCCCGAGTAGCTGAGATTACAGGTGCCTGACACCACACCCAGCTAATTTTTTTGTATTTTTAGTAGAGATGGGGTTTTGCCATGTTGGGCAGGCTGGTCTCAAACTCCTGACCTCAGGTGATCTGCCCGCCTCGGCCTCCCAAAGTCCTGGGATTACAGGCGTGAGCCACTGTGCCTGGCCTTTTTTTTTTTTTTTAATATAAGCATTTACAGCTATAAATTTTCCTTCTTTTTCACTGCTTTAGCTGTATCTCATAATTTTGGTATGTTGTGTTTTTGTTTACATTCATCTCAAAGTATTTTCTAATTTTCCTTGCAATATCTTCTTTAACTTACTGATTATTTAAGGATGTGTTGTTTAATTTCTGTATATTTGTGAATTTCCAAAAGTTAGTTCTGTTATTGGTTTCTAATTTAATTCTATTGTGGTTGGAGAATATTCTTTGTATGACTTCAGTCCTTTTAAATCTACTGAGGCTTGTTTTATTCATTTTATTTTATTTTGAGATGGAGTTTCACTCTTGTTGCCCAGGCTGGAGTGCAATGGAGCTATCTCGGCTCACTGCAACCTCCGCCTCCCGGGTACAAGTGATTCTCCTGCCTCAGCCTCTCAAGTAGCTAGGATTAAAGGCATGTGCCACCACGCCCGGTTAATTTTGTATTTTTAGTAGAGATGAAGTTTCTCCGTGTTGGTCAGGCTGGTCTTGAACTCCCAACCTCAGGTGATCTGCACACCTCGGCCTCCCAAAGTGCTGGGATTACAGGCATGAGCCACCATGCCCGTTGAGGATTGTTTTATGATCCATTCTGGAGACTCTAACATGTGATCCATTCTGGAGAATCTTCCATGTGCAATTTAGAAGAATGTGTAGTATTGTGTTGTTGAGTGTTATTTGATGTCTGTTAGGTTTAGTAGGTTTATAATGTTTCCCATGTCTTTTTTTTTTTTTTTTTTTTTTGAGACAGAGTCTCGCTCTGTCCCCCAGGCTGGAGTGCAGTGGCCGGATCTCGGCTCACTGCAAGCTCCGCCTCCCGGGTTCACGCCATTCTCCTGCCTCAGCCTCCTGAGTAGCTGGGACTACAGGCGCCTGCCACCGCGCCCGGCTAATTTTTGTATTTTTTTAGTAGAGACGGGGTTTCACCGTGTTAGCCAGGATGGTTTCCCATGTCTTCTGTATCCTTATTGATTTTCTACCTAATTGCTTGAAACCTGTAATTTTAAGATAGGTGGGAGGATTGCTTGAGTCAGATTCTATCTCTGTTGCCCAGGCTGGAGTGCAGTGGCGCGATCATAGCTCACTATAACCTGGAACTCCTGGGCTCAAGTGATCTTCCCCTCTGCCCCAACAACCTCTTGAGAAGCTAGGATCACAGGCATGCACCCCTGCACCTGGCTAATACAATTATCATTTGTGTAAATTTAAAATTTATTCATACAACAATGCACAGGTTTCAGTAACACATATTACATTAGTTATCTATAGCTGCTTCCAAATTACCCCCAAACTTAAACAGCAATAAACATTTATTATCTTCTATGGCTTCTATAAATCAGGAATTCTACGGGCGAGAACAATTTAGCTGGGTGTTCTTGGCTCAGGGTCTCTCATGGGTTGTACTCAAACTGACAGCCAGGGCTGCAGTCATCTGGAGGTCAAACTGGAGCTGGAGGATCCATTTCCGAGGTGGCTCACTCCCATGGGTGGCAAGTTGTGGTGGCTGTCAGTGAGAGGCCTCAGTTCCTCACTATATGAGCCTCTCCACAGGGCTGCTTGAATATTATCACGACAGCAGCTGGCTTCCCCCAGAGTGAGCGATCCAAGAGGGAGCAAAGGGGTAGCTGCACTGCTTTTATTTTATTTTATTTTATTTTATTTTATTTTGAGACAGTCTCACTTTGTCACCCAGGCTGAAGTGCAGTGGCACGATCTCAGCCTACTGTAACCTCTACCTCCTGGGTTCAAGTGATTCCTGCCTCAACCTCCCAAGTATCTGGGAGTACACGCATGCATCACCATGCCCGGATAATTTTTGGGTTTTGTTGTTGTTGTTGTTGTTGTTTGTTTGTTTGTTTTTTGAGATGGAGTTTCGCTCTTCTGCCCAGTCTGGAGTGAAGTGGCGTGATCTCGGTTCATTGCAATCTCCGCCCCCTGGTTCAAGCAATTCTTCTGCCTCAGCATCCCGAGTAACTGGGATTATAGGCACCTGCCACCACACCTGGCTAATTTGTGTATTTTTAGTAGAGACAGGGGTTCGCCATGTTGGCCAGGCTAGTTTTGAACTCCTGACCTCAGGTGATCCACCTGCCTCGGCCTCCCAAAGTGCTGGAATTATGGGCGTGAGCCACCGCACCCGGCCTGATGCACATCTTTTCCATCTCCTTTTTCATATGTTCACATAAGCACAAAAAACTTTACATTTCTATTTTTTATTTTTTGGTGTGTTTTTTTTTTATGCGGCTGGGATCTTACTGTATATATTGATCTACAACTAGCTTTTTTCACAACTCTATGTTTTGAAGAGTTTTTCATGTCATTTAAGAAAGGTCTGTCATTATTTTTATTCCTGTACATTATTTCATAGTATGGAGATGCCAGAATTTATTTAATGACTTCCCTACTGATGGACATGCAGGTTGTTTCTACTGATCTTTCTTTTTTCTCTTCTCTTCTCTTCTCTTCTCTTCTCTTTTCTTTCGATGTCTTGCTCTGTCACCCAGGCTGGAATGTGGTTGCGCGATCTCAGCTCACTGCAACCTCTGCCTCTCCGGTTCAAGCAATTCTCTGGCCTCAGCCTCCCAAGTAGCTGGGACTACAGGCACGCGCCACCACAGCCAGCTAATTTTTTGTATTTTTAGTAAAGACAGAGTTTCATCAAGTTGGCCAGGATGGTCTCCATCTCTTGACCTCATGATCTGCCTGCCTCCGCTTCCCAAAGTGCTGGGATTATAGGCGTGAGCCACCACACCTGGCCTCTTTTTCCCTTTCTCTGTGATGGGCTGCATATCTTTCTCACTGTTCATCCACCTTTTTACTTTCTCTTCACTTATTTGATCTCCCCTGGGGTTCAAGAATGGGGGTCAAGGGACATGCAGACTGGATTCTGCTACAGGCAGAGGTCCTTGAAAGACAGAAGGGGCTGCTGTGGCAGATTCGCGATTCCTTCAGCCCACCTTCTCCTAACTAGCTCTTGGAGGATGTGATGCAACTCAGGAATGCCATGGTCCTTGCCTTCAGAGACCTCATGTCTAGCACAGGGACAGACATGTGAGTAACCTATGGGAGGCAGGCTAGCATCAGGTGAGGGGTAGCCTTCCAAGTCCAACTGACGGCTTGGGTTTTCATCCCACCCCACCACTTAACAGATATTTGACATTGGGCAAGTTATTTCACTTCCCAATATCTCAGTTCCCACACATCTAAACTGAGTCTCTTTTTTTATTAAAAGGTTGCTCTGATAAATAAATAAGATGCTTAGCACAGTGCCTGGCACACAGTAATCTATGAACATTGAACTGTTGGGAAACTAGCCAGGCTGTGGTCCTACCAATCACAAAGGAACCCATGGACTCTGGGCCTGCGGGATTTGAAGAGGTCTTCATGAATGAAAGGCGGAGACCTGAAGAATGGGCAGTACCTCCTGGTGGAGCTGGAGGAAGGTATTCTGGGGCATGGAAAGGTAAATGTAAACGCACAGTAGAAATCGGAGGCATATTTAGGGCATGGCAAATCGCACCCTGTGGCTGGAATGTCACGTTCATTGGCGGGGGAGGAAAGGCCTTTCAGGGATGTATGCAGGCAGTCTTCTGACAGAGGAAGGAGGTTCAAGTCTTCTCCATGGACCAGAGCTCCAAAGCTGAAGTCACAGGTCCACCATAGGACCACTGTTGAGGTTAGGCATGGCCGGAAAGGAGCTCCCTTCCCCACTAGCCTCCTGCCTTCTTCAGCATGGGCCTCCTCCCAAGGCTTGGCCACTCCCAGCATCCAGCACCCCCACCTCTCAGCCGGGTTGGGAGGCAGGCGGAGGCTTTTCGCGGGGGCTGTGCCTGGTGGGCGGTTTTCCCAGAGCAGGGAGCACACAGGACTGAGTTGGCGCCTGCTTCCTCGGATGTAGACATTACTGGCTGGATGACCAGCCTAAGCCAGCTAGCTTGAGTCCAGGGCCTCCTCAGGCACTGTGTTTCTGCTCTGTGGGCTGCAGCCCCATAACCCAGTGGGGTGGCATGTCACAGAGGAAGGCCAGAGGGCTGCCAGCCATGCCAGGGGTGGGCCACAGCCAGACTCAGGCCAAAGCACGGTTGCTGCCAGGCGCTGACAGGAAGAGGAGCCGCCTCAGCAGGACAAGGCAGGACCCGTGGGAAGAAAGAAGCTGGAGCAATCAGAGATGGAGCAGAGCTACCCCTGGCCCTCGAGGGACCAGGGCTGGGGGCCTGGCTCTTGGCAGGGTAAGGAAATCCTGGACCTGCAGAGGGGTCCAAGGGAGGAAGGGGTTGGAGGGTGGGGAGATGCCACCTCCGATGGCAGAGCCTCACTCAGTATTACCGTTCCTGCCCAAGAGAGGGGACACTGGCCCCTTAGACTCCAAGGTGTCATGCTTTGGGTGGATGGGATAGATCAGAGCTCTCTGAGCTGCACTCACTCACTTCTCTTGAGGAAACTGAGGCCAGGAAGAGGGACGTGAATTTCCCAAGGTCACTGAGCAGCAGCCAGTGGTAGGACTGGGACTTCAGCCTTGTGCTTTGACCCCGGTTCTGTGTCTTTCCTCTTTCCCACAGCAGCCTCGTCGTCTCAGGACCTGGCTAGGTCAAGGGTCAGCCCTCCCAAACAGGGTGTGTCTCTGAACTGCCCCTGGCCCCAGCGCACTCTGATAAGCAGGATTCAGATTGGGCTTAGGACAAAGGCTCTGAGGAGGCATGAGTGGAGTAGTAGAGAGAACACAGGACTCTGGGTTCTGAGCCAAGCTCTGCCATCCTGCAGCCATCTGACCCCTGCCCAGGCCTTCTCTCAATTTCCTCAGCTGTGAAACAGGGCAGGGCTGAAGATGACAAAGGAGGGCAGAGGCCCTCTGGCGCCTGCTGTTAGACACCCTCCTACTCTGGCAGGAGACCTTTCACTCAAATGCTCTCAGAAGTCAGGGCAGTTGGGAGTCCAAGTCACACACACTCACTGGGGCCCTTTGTGCAGAGTGAGGCCTGTCCTGAGAACGCCGCGCGGGAGCGGAGCCGGGTCAGGACGCTGCGCCAGGCCTTCTTGGCCTTGCAGGCTGCTCTGCCTGCCGTGCCGCCCGACACCAAGCTCTCCAAGTTGGATGTGCTGGTGCTCGCCGCCAGCTACATAGCCCACCTCACCCGCACGCTCGGCCACGAGTTGCCTGGCCCCGCCTGGCCACCCTTCCTGCGTGGACTCCGCTACTTGCACCCTCTCAAGGTAGGTCACAAGCCCTGGGACTTGAGAGGCAGATCTTAATGCCCAGGGCCTTGGAGAAAGGGATTGGAATGAGGGGGACTTTGGTCTTGGGCTCCCTGCCTTGCACAGAACTGACATCGGGGCCAATTTCTTCTGCTGTCTCAGAGAGAGGGGAGCCAAGGCTGGCCCTTGGGGCTGCGCTGACCCTGGGTTTCTCATGGGGTGGTGGCTGGAAATGACTTCATGGGAATGTACCTCCTTGAAGAGGAGGGAAAGACTCTGGGTTTCTTAGAGTCATGGGGAAAAAAAGAGCAGGTTCCAAGTCTGGGTCCTAGGAAAGGAAATTGTACCAAGGAGAGTCCTAGATCCCCATGCAGCTTCACCCCATTGTGCCTGCCTTGGTGCTTTCTGGGCTTCTGTTGCAGGAGAGATCTGCCCTCCAGGAGAACAATGGTCTGAGGGACCATCATTCTAGAAGCAACGAAGCTGGGGGAGTTAGCAGGAAGCAGTACAGGGAAGGTGTGCACCGCTTGCCAGACTGCAACCTAGCTTTTCTCAACCTCAGTTTTGTTACACGTAAAATAGAAGCTAACATGAGCCTTACTTCTCTTCCAAGGTACAAAATGGAAAGTCTAATGAACATTAATCATCTTTGCAATAACAGCTAACAGTTGAGTGCTAAAGATAGGCCAGGAGCTGGGTTAAGTACGTTAGTGTATTTTTGTCTTTTAATCCATGCAAAAGCCAAATGAGGATTACTTTACAGATGAGGAAACTGAGCTTAGGGAGGTTATGAGGCTGAACGCTGTTTGAACCCAGGGGTGTCTGACTTCAGACCCCATGCTCATAGCCACTAAACAGACTACAGGGACAGCGCCATAAGGAGGTGAAGAGTGCACTGTGTTAAAAAGGAAGGGTCATCTTTGCCCTCTGAGGATAACATTGCAGTGGTATCAACTTATTTATTTATTTATTTATTTACTATTATTTTTTTGAGACAGAGTTTCACTCTGTTGCTAAGGCTGGAGTGCAGTGGTGCAATCTCGGCTTACTGCAACCTCAGCCTCCCGGTTCAAGTGATTCTCCTGCCTCAGCCTCCTGAGTAGGTGGGATTATAGGCATGTACCACCACACCCAGCTAATTTTTGTATTTTCAGTAGAGACAGCATTTCACCACGTTTCCCAGGTTGGTCTCAAACTCCCGACCTCAGGTGATCCACCCACTTCGGCCTCCCAAAGTGCTGGGATTACAGGTGTGAGCCACCACACCCAGCTATTTATTTATTTACTTACTTATTTTTGGGACAGGGTCTCACTGTCACCCATGCTAGAGTGCAGTAGTGCAATCATAGCTTACTGTAACCTCAAACTCCTGGGCTCAAGGAATCCTCCCACCTCAGCTTCCCCAGTAGCTGGGACTACAAGCGCATGCCACCACACCTGGCCTTCTTTTTTTTTTTTTTTTTTTTTTTGTAGAGACGGTGTCTCACTTTGTTCCACAGGCTGGTCTCAAACTCTAAGCTCAAGTGATCCTCTCACCTCTCAACTTTATTTTTATGATACTTTTCACCATCTCTTTCCCCTAAATGTCATAGTTCTGAAATGTCTTGAAACTTGATTTTTTTTCTTCAATGCAAATATAGCTAAAATGTGCGAATTTGAGACTAAGTGGGGGAACTCTGAAATGTCAGTGGTGGTGCAGGGTCCTGGCGTGGTATAGTAGTTTCCTTAGCTGTAAAATAGTGACCAAGGCAAGGCCCTTGCTTGTAGTAGGTGATCAACAGCTAGGCTGAAGGATGAACCAAGGAGGGCCCGGTTAGGTCCAGCACTCCAGCACATCCACAGGGTGGAGCAGTTGGCCAGGAAGTAGCTCCCTCAGCCCCCAGGTGGAGAGGTTGTGAAGAGGAGAGCGACCTCAGGGCAGTCAACCTGGTGCATTCTGGGACTGCTCATGCTTCTGCTGGAAAGATGGGCAATCCTTGGAGGGCCCAGCTTGGAGTTTTTCCTGGCTCTGCTGCTCTGCCCATTGCCCAGCCTCTGGCTGTTGCCAGCTCTGCCCAGGCCACCTGATCTTCTGTTCACCTCCCTCCCAACAGAGGGCTGCTATTTTTGGGGCCCTCTCCCTCAGATGGCTCCTCCTGTGTCTCTCATCCAGGCTCTGGGTGATCAGGAAAACGTGTGGGGCTGTACATGAGGATGACCCTGATCAGAGCAGTGATGGCTGGGGAAGGTATCAGGGAGGGATGCTGGAGAAGGCTGGGTTTTGGGTGTCAAGGATCCTGGACTACGACGGGCTGCAAGAGCAGCATTTCTCACTTCTCAATCTCTGTCTTGCAGAAGTGGCCGATGCGATCTCGTCTCTATGCTGGAGGCCTGGGGTACTCTGATCTTGACTCCACCACAGCAAGCACCCCCAGCCAAAGAACAAGAGACGTAGAGGTGGGATCCCAAGTCCCTGGAGAGGCAGATGCTCTCTTTTCTGCCATGCCACTCTCACCAGCTCTTGGTGACAAATAATTATCACACTTGCCTTTTCTCCTAGACTGTGATTCATGCTTAGGGACCTGGATTTTCTGCCAGCCCCCACCTGTCTTCACTCTGATTCTCAGCCATCAGACTTGATTCAGACTCAGCTCCCAAGTTCCAGCATGCAGACCAAGAGAAACAGTAACACTTCTGTGACGGACAGTACCCAGAGGGGCATAGGATGGAGAGCCTCCTCCTTGGTCCCCAAGAGGGGACTTCCCTATGGCTCTTCTGTGACAGCTACTGGGAAGTGGGAGAGAAAGAGGTATAATTGGGCTCAAAGTTGAGCTAGGGAACCACCCTAACTTTCTTCCCCTAAGGTTTCTACAAACCCTCTGCAGATAGCGAAGACAGGTGCAGAGGGAGGGGCCTGGGATGGCACCAGCCCCAGCTGCTGATGGGAAAGCCAGGTGACCAGATAGGCTCTTGGTAGCTGCAAGTGTAAACAGATCTGGGCTGGGTCACACAGCCAGAAGAAAACTGAAGAAGGGAATGTGCTTTCTAACTGCATCATGAGATGCTTACCTGATGTTAGAGAGATAGTGGGGAATTCAGGATTCTTGCCTCTGTAGTATCTGTAGTATGGGCCTCTCCAGAAGCTGCCCCTCACCACTACATTTTCTCTCTCTCTTGGCTCCTGCACTCTTCCACTCTTTTCTTCTTCTTTTTATGCAGAGATGGGGTCTTGATATGTTCAAGGCTGGCCTTGAACCCCTGGCCTCAAGTGATCCTCCCACCTCAGCCTCCTAAAGTGCTGGGATTGCAGGCATCATCTCTGGCCCTAAAGAAATAACTTGAGAACTAATCGTAGAATCTACACACACTGAAAATAATTTTCCAGATCAGATATAGCCTCAAACCTTGCACCTGAAGTCCAGACAGGGAACAAATTACCTTTCGGTTAAATTTCAGCCCTTCAGAGTGAGAGGGAATGGGCATGACCAACTAGAGTCCCAACAAGGTTATCCTTAGACACACACCATTGTTGTCATCATGAATGTAAGTGAGCTCTAGGCAGGCTGGGAATGGTTGGGGTCTGGGTTCTGGCATGACAGGACCCTGTACCTCCATAGGGCTGGCCAGGGCAGAGCTGAAATAGGGCTGGGGGTGCAACTGAGCCACTCGTGGTAGAGGTAGAAAAAGAGACACAGAACATTCCAGCCCCGAGCTGCCTGGGATGTGGGAGAACAGCTGGAATGTGGCCGGGAGCCATGGGGAGAAGGCCTCGGCCAAGGCTGAACTCATAAATCTGCCTTGAACCAAGTCTCCACAGAGGGACCCTGGAAAACTTGTGCAGAGCTGATGTGGGCAGCTGCACAGGGCCAGGCAGGGGCAGAGGCCAGGTGTGGGAGGGCGTGAGCACAGTGTTCTTCACAAGACCATAAAAGTCCAGCTAGAATGTACTATTTTTAAAGCCAAACAGCAGTATCTTCCTGGTTGAGTTCACAGAGGTGGTAGGATGAGAAGCAGATACATTTCCTCCTCAGTTGGTGGCACACTGTTGTCCTGGGGATGAAGGGAAATTGGCTTGGGGGGTGTGTCGGGGTTCTTCGGATAGCATAGACCTTCCCCTGATGATAGAGTAGACTTTGGTCTGATAGAGTAGCTGATAGAGTAGATGATAGAGTAGCTTGCCCCACCCTGCCCTGCTCAGACTCAGGCCTTTGCTTAGTAACATTAGAGCCCTCTGGAGCGACTGCATGGCCCTGGTGGAGACAAGGAGGGCACAGGAAGGATGATGCAGGTGGAGGGCTGCAGGAGGCGGGTCCCATCACAACAAGTGTCTCAGGCTGTCTTGGGCCCTTTCCAGGCAAAGCTGTTCTCATTTGTGCCCAGGACAGTCGTGGGGGGCAGGGCAGAGGCCATCTCCCCCAGCCACGGAGACCCAGCCCCATCAGGCCAGCAAGCAAAGAGGCCTGGAAGAGGGCAGGGTGAGCCAAGGGGATGAATGGGTATAACCAGAGGATGGACTGGGCCCTCCCTCCCTGACAAGCACAGTAATGCCCTTGAGACATGTCAGGACTTGGATTCGCCAATGAACCAGAACCAGGAGTAGCCCCTTTGTCTCTGCAGCGAGAAAGAAAAACACGGCCCAGTTCGGTGGCTCATGCCTGTAATCCCAGCACTTTGGGAGGCCGAGGCGGGCAGATCATGAGGTCAGGAGTTCGAGACCAGCCTTGCCAACATGATGAAAACCCTTCTCTACTAAAAATACAAAAATTTGCCAGACGTCATGGTGGGCACCCGTAATCCTAGCTACTTGGGAGGCTGAGGCAGGAGAATTGCTTGAACCCGGGAGGCAGATTGCAGTGAGCCAAGATCGCGCCACTGCACTCCAGCCTGGGCGAAGAGAAAGACTCCATCTAGGAAAAAAAAGAAAACAAAAAAAAGAAGTAAAATAAAATATGGATGAAAACATTTGAGTATGGATGACAAATGACACTAGGGTGGCCTGGCTCAGGAGTTGGAGGCTCAGCTGCTCCACAGGGGACTGGCCTGGCCCACTTGGTCTTCCTGTACCACCTGCCCCATCCCCAGGACTTGGGACTGGGATGGAGGTAGAGGTGGGGAACAAGACTTCCCTGCTGGCTCCCTCCACAGAGCATGTGCTTTCTGAGGAACAGGATGGCAGGGTGGAGGCTTCGATGGGGCTGTGGGGCTGAGTGTGGTGGCTGATGCCTGTAATCCCACACTTTGGGAGGCCAAGGGGGCGGATCATCTGAGGTCAGGAGTTCAAGACCAGCCTGACCAACGTGGTGAAACCCTGTCTCTACTAAAAATATGAAATTAGCTGGGCATGGAAATATGTCTCTACTAAAAATATGAAATTAGCTGGGCATGGGGGCACATACCTATAATCCCAGCTGCTCGGGAGGCTGAGGCAGGAGAATCGCTTGATCCCAGGAGGTGGAGGTTGCATTGAGCTGAGATCATGCCATTGCACTCCAGCCTGGGTGACAAGAGTGAAACTCCATCTAAAAAAAAAAAAAAGATGGGGCTGTGGGAGAAGCAGAGCTGGCCCGGTGATTTCTAAGTAATACAGTGGACACTGGATTTTACCAAATTGGGAACTGGAGAAGTAGAGGATCTAGCTTTCTCTGAGACTCTTTTTCTCTTCCTCTGGGAGGAGCCTGGCTAGGGTGAGTCAGGTGGCACTGTCCTCTCCCTTTGGTGGCATGAGCTCTAAACCTAGGGCCCCTAAACGCTTATTGTATTCTAGATCAAGGTAGGCAAACTATGGCCAGTAGGCCAAAACCAGCCCCCCGTGTATTTTTGTAAATAAAGTTTTATTGGAACGCATCCACACCCAAGTGTTTACATGTTATTTATGGCTGCCTTTCTGATAGCATTGCAGAGTCAAATAGCTGCACTAGAGACTGAAAAGCCTAAAATATTTACTTTCTGGCCCTTAATAGAAGTTTGCTAACTCCTGCTCCAGCTCAGAGGTATTCAAAGTATGGTCTAGGAACCCTGGGAGTCTCTGAGGCCCTTAAGGTGGTCTAAGTGGCCAAAACTACTTTGATAGTTTTATATTTTTAGGCCGCACACGGTGGCTTGCACCTGTAATCCAGCACTTTGGAAGGCGGAGGCGAGTGGATCTCTTGAACCCAGGAGTTCAAAACCAGCCTGGGCAACGTGGCAAAACCCTGTCTCTACTAAAAATAGAAAAATTGGCCAGAGGTGGTGGTAGCTGTAATCCCAGCTACTGGGAGGCTGAGGAATGAGAATCGCTTGAACCCAGGAGGCAGAGGTTGCAGTGAGCCAAGATCGCACCACTGCACTCTGGCCTGGGTGACAGAGCGAGACTCCATCTCAAAAAAACAAAACAAGGTGGGCATGGTGGCTCACGCCTGTAATCCCAACACTTTGGGAGGCTGAGGAGGGCAGATCGCTTGAGGTCAGGAGTTTGAGCCCAGCCTGGGCAATAGGTGAAACCCTGTCTCTACCAAAAATACAGAACAATTAGCCGGGCATGGTGGTGGGCATCTGTAGTTCCAGCTACTCAGGAGGCTGAGGCAGGAGAATCGCTTGAATCCCGGAGGCAAAGGTTGCGGTGAGCCGAGATCGTACCACTGCACTCCAGCCTAGGTGAAAGAGAAAGACTCCATCTCAAAAAATAAAAACAAAATGAAACAAAAAATTAGCTGGGCTTGGTGATGCACACATGTAGTCCCAGCTACTCGAGAAGCTGAGATGGAGAATCACCTGAGCCTGGGAGGTCAAGGCTGCAGTGAATGGTGTTCTTACCACTTCTCACCACAGCACTCCAGCTTGGGCAACAGGAGTGAGACCCTCTCTCAAACAAACAAACAAAAAATAAGTTACTTATATATATATATATATATATATATATTTTTTTTTTTTTTTTTTTTTTTTTTTTTTTTGAGACGGAGTCTCGCTCTGTCGCCCAGGCTGGAGTACAGTGGCCGGATCTCAGCTCACTGCAAGCTCCGCCTCCCGGGTTCACGCCATTCTCCTGCCTCAGCCTCCGGAATAGCTGGGACTACAGGCGCCCGCCACCTCGCCCGGCTAGTTTTTTGTATTTTTTAGTAGAGACGGGGTTTCACCGTGTTAACCAGGATGGTCTCGATCTCCTGACCTCGTGATCCACCCGTCTCGGCCTCCCAAAGTGCTGGGATTACAGGCTTGAGCCACCGCGCCCGGCCAGTTACTTATATTTTTTACTCGCACTCTCTCAAGAGTGTAGTGGAATTTTCCAGGAGCCACATGACATGTGATATTGCAACGAATGGAGTGAGGAAGCAGATAAGAGACTCCAGCTGTCTACTACAACAGACATTAAAGATATTTTCAAAAACTGTAAAGCACTGCCATTCTCACTAAATATTTTCTTCTTATATGGAAAACAATAATATTGCATAAAAATTTTATATATGTTCACATAAAATGGGTTCATCAATTAGTGTTATTTTAAAATAAATATTTTTAAAATTCTCTATTTTAATTTATAATGTGATGGTTATGGATAGATATAACCCACATAAGCAAAAGCTCTTCAGGGTCCTACTTTTTTTAAGAATGTAAAGGGGTCCTGAGAACAAAAATTATGAGAACATCAACTCTAGAATAGCTTGTCGATGGTCTAGGAAAGCCCCTGGCCTGCCCGCCGGCTCACCCCTGTACTGAGACAGCTCTACTTGGTCCAGAGACAGAGGACTTGGGTTGAGGGGGAGTGCCTGGCACAGTGAGGACAGAGGCGGAGTCCTGAGTCAATATCACAGGGAGGTCTCCTGGAGGACACAGGGTGGGCTGCTCCCCTGGTGGGCTGTGCCAGCCAGAGTTATGGCCTCCTTGTCTCTGCTGTACTCCAGCACACCATTCCTCAGCTTCTCAGGAAACAGGCCGGTGTCCACAAGGTGGTCCTGCAAACACAGAGCTGGTGAAGGTGAACGACAGTTGGTGATAGGATTCATGCAGAAAAGGTCCCCGCTAGAAGGAAGCCCAGCAAGGCTGGGTGCAGGAGGGAGAGCACAGCCTAGTGGGGAGCACAGGGTGGGTTGGGGAGGGGAGTTGACCAGCCCAGGCCGGGGCTGAGCTCCTCTGAGCCCTGAGATCCTTCTGCCCCTCAAGCCAGTGCAGCCCTGTGGGTAGAACCTGAGACAGCCGTGTGGGACACATGCTTAGCTGATCCTGAGAGAGAGAAAGAGGCACTAGGGGCAGGGGGAGAGAAAAGGGGTGGAAGGGAACCTGAAGAGTCGGTGGCATCTGCGGAGAAAGGCAGGGAGGCGCCACTTGGACAGCAGGTACTACCTGGCCGTAGCTCCTGCCGTGGAGCCTCTTCTGACACGACAAGGGAAGGAGGAACAGGAGCTTCGGCAACACTGGGTTCCCAGTGTTCGGCAACACCGGCCTCGCATTCCCCCTGAAGGCAGAGGTGCTTCTGAGTCTCTGCGTGGAACCATCCACAGCAGTGAGCCCCATGTCCTCCCTTGGGCCCCAGAAGCCCCAGCCCCCGACCCCCTCCTAAATCCCAGCAGAAAAGCCTGACAGCTACTGACACCCAAGAGCTGAGGGCAGGAGCCTTTCCCCCCAGGCGACAGAGTCCCTTAAAGCCCTCTTTCAGCCCCTTGGTAGTCCTCTGCACTGCAATCCCACACCCTCACCCACACCCTCACCCACACCCTCATCGGTGAGCTGATTCCAGGTCCTCCGACCCCCACAAGGCTGCCTATCAGCTGCAGCTCCACAGGCCCTGGCTGGCAAGTGGCCTCCAAAAAACCTCCACCTTCCCAGCTTTGTGGATGGGCAGCCCCAGGGTGAGGATCTGTGGCCTCTTGGTAGACTCTAGGTTTCCTACTTTCCCTACTTCCCCCAACTCTGTGCTCCAGGCTGCCTTGGGAATGTGGTAGGCGCCTCCCCTCTCCCGGGTTCTACCTCCCACACTTTGCCACGGGAGAGAAAGTTTGATCCCCAACACAGCAAGAGGGTCAGCTGCTGAGCAGCGGAACAGAGGGCAAGGGCCCACTCCAGGGTTCTGAGTAACCCCAGGAGATACTCAAAAGAGGTAGGAGCTGAGCTCTGGTGAGACGATGGGGAGAGAAGAAGGAACTAAGAACCTCTGCCATTAAATACGCCAGAAGTTACGTAGGGCCAAAGACAATTGCTTTTTCTTTAAACTTGGAAAAGTTACCAAAAAGTACGATCCAGTAATCAGAACAGAAACAACCCTCCACATTGATGATGGTGAAAGCAGAAAAGCAAGTTAGTATATCGAGTCGGCCTAAATCACTTGACAGTTGTATCATGCTTTAGTGCCTCAGCAGCTCTGGGTCCAGGGCCAGTTGGATGAAAATGGATTGTATTAGTCTGTACTTATGCTGCTAATAAAGACATACCCGAGACTGGGTAATTTAGTAAGGAAAGAGGTTTAATTGACTCACAGTTCCACAGGGCTGGGAGGCCTTGGGAAACTTACAATCATGTTGGAAGGGGAAGCAAACACGTCCTTCTGCACAAGGTGGCAGCAAGGAGAAGTACAGAGCAAAAGCGGGAAAGCCCCTTATAAAACCATCAGATCTCATGAGAACTCACTCACTATCACAAGAACAGCCTGAGGGTAAACACTCCCATGATTAAATTACCTCCTGCCGGGTCCCTCCCACGACACGTGGGGATTATGAGAACTACAATTGAGGATGATATTTGGGTGG